CTTCAAATGTTTGTTTCAGTAAAACTATATATTTTATTTATTATTTTCTCTACCCTAACTCTATACGAGGTTGGTCAATTTGATTGACCTCGTCCCCCCCCCCCCCCAAAGAAATCGAAATAACTCTAAATTACCCTCTTTTTTGATTGACCTCGTAACTCTCCCCCAACCAAAAAAATCAAAATAACTAAATTACCCTCTTTTTCTTTCTAGAATGACTTCAAATGTAGCATGAAACTACATTCGCTTATCCTACGTAGCTATAAACTCGTTACAGAATACATTTATAATTTCATTTTACTGTTTTATTGTCCTTTGAACCATGTCTAACTACTATCCGTGACATTATAAGTTGTAAATCACTCGGGAAACGTGCAGCTCACAAGCGTGCCTCGTGAAACATTTTTATTATATTATTATTATTAGTTATTTTACCTAATCTAATCTTAACTAACCCAAAAAGATCCCTATTTTTAAATTTTAGTTACTTTTATAATAATAAATAAAGAATAAACATGAAAAACAAGAAATAAAGTACTTACTCAATCTCCTTTTTTCTTGCTGTCGATTTTCGATGACAGTTAACCCTACTTTCTTTATGGTAGTAATGCACTAAATTTTTTATTTAATTAAATAATGCATCAAAGAACATATACTAATAACATGCAAAAAGTAAACAATTTCCCCTAACTTGCAAAATTTTTCTGTATTTCTAACTATGTGACAAGAGCCGTTATAAAAGTCATCCAAGCTAGTCGTTAACCTACCCATGGGAATGAGCTGTGTATTATAGGTGAAATTGACGCTTATCTGTTCAGAACAAAGCTTTATACAATGCGTCATTTGATATACGAAAACTTTTGCTTTCTATTGGTTATAGGTAATATACAATTAAATGTAAAAGATAACTATTGAAAAGGATGTGTCAGGTGGGTGTGGCAGGAGGGGTCTAATTTTCTATTTGATGGCAATAAAAATTATGGTTTGTCTGAGCAATGAAGATTTTATAGTGAGTAATTTACGTTTAACTTCATAGTTTCTGGGGGGGGGATATAACAGTGATGAAAAGATACCTAGAGAACATGTATCACATGTGTCACACTAGGGGAAATTCAGTTTTTTTTTTTGTCTTGTAGAATTAAGAACTCTACAATTATATACTATTAAAATATGGGTTATTAGCTAAGATTCTGTGCTGTTCTAATTGGTATAACATAAACGAAAAGTAGTTCATTAAAAGTTTGAATGAAAGACACTAAAACCTTGTGTCATGTGCAGTAAAGGATACCTGTGTCAATAGTTAATGGAAATGAAAAAAAAAAAAGATTAAGACTATAGTTAGGAAACTTTCAGAAAAGACAATTGCCTGATTTGCCTTAGAGGTTGTTATGACCCAAATAGCATATTCTCAAACATTTGTAGCCATCTTACTGGTTTGAGTATCCTTTCCTAAAAGACTTAACTCCTTATAACCAAGTGGATGCTACACCAGCATCTGGCCAAAAATCCCAATTTACCCACTGAATGGTAACAGTGTTCGATAAACTTTGTCTCTCTTTGGTTGAAAACTAATCCAAACCATGTTATTATCCACCTTTTGTAAATAGACCAGTAATTTTATAAGGTATGGTGATAATTATTAGGACATCATGAAAATAATTCTGGCAAAACACACAAAGTTATGGGTTTAAAGAGTTAAGTTTGATAGTTAGTACAAATAAACAAATAGTAATTCTGGCAAAACACACAAAGTTATGGGTTTAAAGAGTTAAGTTTGATAGTTAGTACAAATAAACAAATTGTAATTCTGGCCAAACACACAAAGTTATGGGTTTAAAGAGTTAAGTTTGATAGTTAGTACAAATAAACAAATTGTAATTCTGGCCAAACACACAAAGTTATGGGTTTAAAGAGTTAAGTTTGATAGTTAGTACAAATAAACAAATAGTAAAGTACTCTGCAAGAGGCAAAACACACAAAGTTATGGGTTTAAAGAGTTAAGTTTGATAGTTAGTACAAATAAACAAATAGTAAAGTACTCTG